ATAGCGATGATCTCTCTCTCTCTCTCTCTCTCTCTCTCTCTCTCTCTCTCTCTCTCTCTCTCTCTCTCTCTCTCTCTCTCTCTCTTTCCCGGGCCCATTCCCTGCTCTCCCTCTCCCCTCCCTCCCTCTCTGCCGTCCTCTGTAGTAGAAGTGCGCACAAGCTCTCACCCTGTCTGCTGGTTTTCCTCCGTTTGTAACCTCTACTCTCCATTTCGTTGATTGGTTGAATTGAATAATTTGAATTGGAATCAAATTTATTTGAATCGACTTGAATCTAATCAAACCGAATGCAATCGGTTTGATTAGATCGGTATCTGCATCCCATTGCAATGACCATGTGATGAGATGTGAGGCCATCTGATCGGTATCTGCATCCCATTGCAATGACCATGAGGTACGAATTGCGTTGCAATGCCGATCAGATCACAATCGAATCACATGGCCTCACATCTCATCACATGGCATCGTTGAGCTAAAGTGGAGTGGGGTTAAGTGGTGTGGAGTGGAAACGGAATTGGAGACAGAAGGGGAACTGAATTGAATTGAATTGAATTGAATCACATGGTATCACATCTCATCACATTGCATCGTTGGGGTGGAGTGGAGTGGAGTGGAAACAGAAGTGGAAACAGAAACGGAAACAGAAGTGGAAATAGAAGTGGAAACGGAAGTGAAAACAGAAGTGAAAACAGAAGTGGAACTGAACTGAATTGAATTGAATTGAAACGAATCACATGGCGTCACATCTCATCACGTTGCGTCGTTGGGGTGGAGTGGAAAAACAGAAGCGGAAAAGGAGTGGAAACAGAAGTGAAAACAGTAGTGGACACAGAAGTGAAACTGAATTGCATTGAATTGAATTGAATTGAATCACATGGCATCACATCTCATCACATTGCATCGTTGGGGTGGAGTGGAGTGGAAACAGAAGTGGAAACAGAAATGGAAACAAAAGTGGAAACAGAAGTGGAAACAAAAGTGGAAACAGAGGTGGGATTGAATTGAATCCAATGGAATGGAATGGAATGAAATTGGTGATTGTTGTGGATTGAAGCGGTAATTGTTATTGATCCACAGCTGTTATGGTGCCTGATCTGTTTTGCTTTTTGATTGGACAGGGAAGCACCTGGGGTGGCAAGCTAGAAAGTGACTACATGAGGAGCATGTGAAACTTTGCTTTCACTGTTACCTCTTGTTCAACTAGGAGCCTAGGAGGCACAGTTAAAAAAAAAAAAAAAAAGGAACAAAAGAGAGGCACAGTTAGTGAATATAGTCTTATCAGTGTGTTCTCACTCTTACCTCATCTTCAGGCACCGCGCGACCTTCTTCCCCCGAATACAACGTATGGTCATTGTAGCTGTATTTGGGGTATCTTTCGGTCCAAATACAGAAGGTAGCCGACTCTACTACGCTCACAGCCCACTCTACTCTCGCAGTCGACCCATAACTGATCTATGAGAACAACCGTTTCTCATCATGGGAAAAAGGAAGAAAGACGAAATCGCCGCTCCTGAGCCGGCTGTGCGGAGGAGGAGATCAGAAGCGACCCCCCCCCAAGGCAATGAAGATGCGCGCGCTTTGGCGGCAGCGCCCAAACTCCCGGGAGCGGGATCACCGTCGGTGTGCCGCTCAACACGCTCTGGTTTGAAGAGGGGCGAAGCTGGTGCTAGGGTGAAGGAGGAACACTCTCGCTTAATTGTTGATGTCAACGCAGTTTGCACAAGTTGCGATCAAACCCCTGCTGCTGCATCTGGACAGGCAGATAGTCTTCAGCCAGGAAGTGCTGACAGGAGAGGAGGAGGAGGAGATGGAGGAGGTGGAAGAGGAGGACGGAGAGGAGGAGGAGGAGGAGGAGGAAGAGGAGGAGGAAGAAGAAGAGGGGGAGGAAAGAGGGGTCAGGTCGGAGGGCCCGAGCAGGATGATCAGATACAACAACGGGATGATAGGTTGGGATCTGTGCTGACTCTGCATGGAAAGAGTTGCAGTGGGGTTGCTGACTCAGCACGGGAAGCAGAGCGAGCAACCGCGCCGACGAAGATCTCCTCGAAGAATGCTGCAAAAGGGAAAGAAAAGATGGAAGAAGAGGTAGCTCATCTTGTTGGATATGGAGACGATGCAGTGACTGGGACTGGAGAGGAGGAATGCAAGGACGCGCATGATGACCCCATCGACCCAGATGATGAGTGGGATTGGGAGAATGGCAACCAGTACCAGGACTGGGAGGGGGAGGAGGAGGAGGAGGAGGGAGGAGTTCAGCCAAAGCAGGATGAGTGGACAGGAGAGATCGCTATCTCTATCGATGGAGAGGAGGGTGAAGCAGACGCAGAAGAGGGGTGTGGAAAAGCAAGGGCAAAACCGAGTTTGCGACGAGCCACTGGTAAAGACAAGGTAAGGGTTCGGTTAACCTAAACCCTAACCTAAACCCTAACCTAAACCCTAACCTAAACCCTAACCTAAACCCTAACCTAAACCCTAACCTGAACACTGACTTAAACCCTAATCTAAACCCTAACCTAAACCCTAACCTTAACACTGACCTTAACCTAAACCCTAACCTGAACACTGACCTTAACCTAAACCCTAACATGAACCCTGATACGAACTACAACCTAAACCTTAACCTAAACCCTAGCCTAATCCTTAACCTAAACCCTAACCTAAACCCTTTTTGACATAGTACCTGTTAACCTAAATCAGTCAAAATTGTACTTTGAAATTTTAAATAAAATAAAATAAATTTTAATTAAAAAAAAAAAGACTTTATCTGGTGAATTTATTTTGAGTCTACTGGACTGGTCGAGCGACCTAGGTAACATGGTTCAAGAGTCAATTTTTATTTTTGAATTTCAATTCCTTTGGTGAGTCGAAATGCCAATTTTTTTTTTTTTCCGAGTTTATCGCGATTGACGATCTGGACCTTGGTATCCCAACCTGGGCATCCAGACCTGTCTAACGGAATGGCTGTCCGGAAGTCTGAATCGCGTCCATGATCCCGACTTCAAAAGTTTAGTGATAATTTTTCCAGCGACTTGCAGGCTGTGAAGTACGGGTCTGATTTGAGACAGAGCAAAGAATAACACGGGGGGAAAAAGGAAGACTTTTTCATTCTTATTCTTGTATGATTAAAAAAATAAAATAAAATGGAAAAATATATTTGTGATTTTGACAATCTGCTGCTGGCGGTTAGACTAGTACTTCCGAAATGTATTTGACTGCAATTACGCCCAGACGTGGATGCACGTGGCTCATAGGTGCGGCACACGTGTGCACTGCGCGGTGCGCGCTGGTGCACCGTGCGCTGTGCGCTGGTTTAGTTGCTCGCGCACTGTGCGCTGTGCACGTGCTGCGGCCTGTGCGCCATGTGCGCAGGAAAAAAATATTAAAC